CTCTCTCTCTCTCTCTCTCTCTCTCCCTCCCTCCCTCCCTCCCTCCCTCCTAAATTCCTATTTACAGTGACCACTGCTTAGTATTAAGCTTGGTGACTGAACTGTCACCCTGTCACTTACATGTACATGCCATCTGCCAATAAATCTCATTTCTTAAGGCCTGTTTGGGGTAAACCTGCAGATTTCCATGTGAAACACTTTGGGAAGGCAGGAATAGTAAAGAGATGAGGTCAGACCTAAAGTCCTGCTCTTTACTGCAACTCTGATTTCCTTCTTAGAGAGTGGGCACCATCCAGCAGTATGGTCCAGGGAACAGAATAGGGTGGGGTGTGATAAAGGCTCTCATGAGGGATTGTGGTTGGGGATAAAGAGGGCACCCTTGAAGAGAGGGGCCATGAGGGGGACATTCAGCTGAGGCTTAGGGGAGGATAAAAGATTCAGAGAGAAGTATCATTGTATCCGTAGTGGGAATGTTAATTACTGGGTGAAGCAGCTGATGTAACCCTCTGCTGTGAGCTCGGGAAGATGGATTCAGTATAGAATTTGCTGCTGACTTTAGCAAGGCGCTTCATCTGCGGGGTGAGCCTTTACATGGTCATCTTTGGAGTAGGAACATAGGTCTCCTGCTTGACCTCCCATCTCATTGGGCCTTCTTTGTGACAGTTGAAAAATGTTATGATTTTAAAACTTGAAAATAAGAATCCAGTATGAGGCCGTGCTGTTACCTAAGACGGTTCCTGTCTTCTTTGCAGCCTTGCCATCCACTCCATCATAGTCCTGCCGCTGATCTATTTCGTAGTTGTGCGGAAGAACCCTTTCCGCTTTGCCTTGGGCATGGCGCAGGCTCTGTTGACAGCGCTCATGATCTCTTCCAGGTAACTAGAAGAGGGGCTTCTGGGAGAAGCTTCTAGACAATGCTTTGTTAGCTCTCATTTTGCTCTGTGAACCAGACTCCAGTTTCTGATTTTGGTCGCTGCCTTTGAGAGATGGCTTCCACATTCTTTGCCTAGCTCCTCGAACATATTTCTCCACCCTATTTGAGTGCAGCCTGCCCTCTTACCATGGTCTGATGCCCAGGAAGGAGATCTGGCGTAACTGGGGGTAGTGGTAGGCACAGCACCTTCTGATTCTTGGGCTGCTCATGCTTTGGGCCTTTATTCACTTTCTGGAAGAAAGGGGACTTTTCAGGTGGAGATTGAGGCTCAGCATTCTTAGACCCTAAATTGTTTTCTCTTTTCATCCCACAGTTCAGCAACTCTGCCTGTTACTTTCCGCTGTGCAGAAGAAAAGAACCAGGTGGACAAAAGGATCACTAGATTTGTGCTGCCCGTTGGTGCCACTATCAACATGGATGGGACTGCACTCTATGAAGCTGTGGCAGCTGTGTTTATTGCACAGCTGAATGACCTAGACCTGAGCATTGGGCAGATTATCACCATCAGGTGAGGCACAGTGTCACTGTCACTGCCTCACGTAGACACAGTCTGTGAAGAGAGACCAAGAATGGTCCAGTGATAGATTGCTGTCTTGGTCTGCAAAGCCCCTTCCCAAGATTAAGCACAAGTGGTACTCATGGTACACTTGATTCCTGCTTCAGGATCTGGGTAGCCAAAGCATCACTCTGCTCAGTTCAGCACACCTTGTAGGTGCCAGACAGTGCCAGACATAGAGGAGGCATCACAGACCAACGTTGAATAGGCCCTAGTTCTTGGTCTAACAGATAGGTACCCAAATAAATGCTGGATCTGTGATAGGAGCTCTCACAGAACATTGTATGGTGGTCACAGAGGGCCTCAAAGAGAGAATGATCAGCTCTACCTGGGAAGGTGGGGGAAGGATTCCTGGAGGAGGGGAAAGCACAGGTGAACCTGAGATGAGCAATAAGAACTAAACAGGATAAGATGGAAGCTAAGCGCTCTGAACAACAGACATATCTCATGGCCTAGTTAAGAGTACAGATTTGTTGGGTGGAATAAGGAGCCCAGTGTGGAAGAGACAGTGTAATGAAGAGGGGGCGGGGGTCATTTGAAAGACTGTTCATGGACAGGTCTGCAGGTTAGAGCAAGAGCTAGCAATTTGGCAATTGGATGAGAGTGGGAACAACAAACTAGAAGACCATTCAGGAATCAAAAGACCTACACTAAGCACCCATCAGTTAGTGAATCAAAGAAGCATCAACTGGATTCAGCTTCTGCATGAAGGGCAGGGCAGGGCTGAGATGTCTTCCAGTGCGTGGTTTGGGCTTATCAGAGCAGGGACTAGGATAAGAGAAGCAAGAATAAGGGGGAAGTAAGGGTTTATGCTTTTTGACGCATTGAATTTGAAATGCTCTTAAGAATTCCAAGTGGATATATGCAGTGAGGATGTAGGTCTGGACTGTGGAGCCCAGTCACTGATGGCTACCAACCCAGAGCCCAAAGTCAGGGTCAGTAGTTTAACAGTAGTCACTGGACATGTGAGTCATGAGTTGAGTGTCTGTTGGAATCTCTCAGCCACACTAGGATTAGTTGTAGACTTGGGCAAGATACTTGCTTTCTCTAAGCTTCTGTTTTCTCACCTGAGCGATGATGATAATAGTCCCTATAATTTATTCAAATATGATGATTAACAGGATACTTACAAAAGTCTTAGTGTCCACACAGGGAATACTCAATAAATGTTATTAATGAATGTCATTATGTGAGGAGAGTGGTATTGTGGGAACCATGTGACAAGATGTTTATTTTTAAGGATAAAAATGATCCACACACTGTCAGGTACTGAAAAGAATTCAAGTCAAATGATAAATCCCCTAACTTTTCCTTAGTCATAGGTTTTCTAGATTCCTCCTGTTACCAGGGAAATTGGAGCTGCCTTTGGGCTTTTTATCCACATTAATAAAAGAATTTAAAAATGGACTCAAGCTGGGTGTGGTGGCTCATGCCTTTAATCCCATTATTCAGGAAGATCCTGTCTCAAAAAAAAAAAAAAAAAAAAAAAAAAAAAAAGGACTCAAATGGAGACTTAAGGAAGATTTTATTAGAATTTGAGAGAAAACAACAGGGCAGGCAATCCCAGCTGCTGCCAAGAGGAGGGAGATGAAGAGAAATGCATGCCTTTTAAGTTATTCATAAAGGTCAGAGAAAGATATAAACGTCAGAGAAAAACATAGAGCCCAGAGTGTCAAGGAAGGCACACTCCAGTTTTTGACCGATATCCCAAAAAGTAGCAAAGAGAAAGAAAGCATGCTCAGTGCCAGGCCAGGGTCTGAGTTCAGAGGGAACCTGTACCAGGTGCACATGGTTAGAAATAGAAATGGAGACAGTTTATTAAGAAGGGGAAAGGATTCCCAAGAATAGGAGTGGGCCAGTGAGCTGAGAGAAAAACCCAAACTCTAGGCCTCAGGTGCAGCACTCTTTATAGGACATTTCTGGTTGTATTAGCAAAAGCTCTTCTCACACATAATGCCCAGAGGCTTCCAGTCTTCCTCTGCCAATTGACTTCCTTCATATGTAATCTTGATGCTTGCTGTAGTCTGCAGGTCCCTGCACCCCCCCAACCCCTGCCCCAACCCTGGCATACCTTTTCCAACTTGACTTGGGCATATATGCTAGATAGTCAATTTGCATCTAAACCTCTTTTCCTACTCTGGAATCTTCTTCAGTCAGAATCACTGATAGCTACCGAGCCAGAACTAGTTATATATAT